CTTCTGGTGCGCGCGCAGGCCGGCCAGCTGCGAGTAGGCGCTCTGGCACACCTGGCACTTATAGGGGCGCTCGCCCGTGTGCAGGCGCACGTGGTTGCGCAGCGTGGACGACTGGCTGAAGCGGCGGTTGCAGAAGCGGCACACGAAGGGCTTGTCCAGCGTGTGGATGCGCATGTGCGAGCGCAAGTTGCTGCGGGAGTTGAAACCTCGGTGACAGATGACGCAGCGCATGCGGCCCGCGGTGCCGGTCGCTGAGTCCGCCGGGTGGAAGTCCTCTGGCAGCAGGGGGCGGAACGCGGGACCCACGGCGCAGGCGGGAGGGAAAGAGAGCAGCCCGATTAGCACCCACGCCGGCTGCTCCTGGTCCCCGTGGACTCACTCCCTTGAAGATAGTGGGTCACACAGCCCCGTGGGCGCCGCGGGCCGTGACTGTGGTATAATAGCAGTTACATTGCACCAGGACCCAACCTGGGAGGACTTGGTGACAGGGCCCAAGGAAACCTTAACTTTCTCATCTGAAAAATGGGAGGCAGTCCGGGGAGGCAGAGACAAGTGTATTTCTGAGTTCCAAACTAGCCAGGACTATGTGCAGAGACCCTGTCTTACAAAGCAAAAGGTGGGGTGGTGTCAGGTAGGGGTGGAGCCTGGTGACCAGAATTGGATTCTGTGGACCCACGTGGTGAAGGAGAGAACTGACTCCCACTAGTGGCCTCTAGCCTCCACCTGCGCACAGTGGCAGGCATACCTAGATGCACACAAGATATGTAAAGTTTTTTGTTTGTTTGTTTAAAGGTCTCATAGGACCATTAGGGACTAGTAGGATTTTGCAAGTTTATTAGAAACTCGCAAACTAAAGTCAACGGAAAATTTTTCTCTGTTTAGCTTGAATGTGAGAAATGCCTGGGTCCTAATAGGCTACACATAAAGGATAACAACTATGGTGACTCTAAAAAAGTTCTCTCATCTATTCGCTTCACAAACATTCACGGAGGACTCAGTGTACCTAGGAACTACTGTTTGCCCATTTTCTCATTCCAAGTGGAGGCAAAGGGCGCTCAGGGAAATCAGGGCTCTGCAGACACTAACCCATGATCCTCAGGCTGCTCCTTCTTCTCCTTCTTTTTTTTTTTTGCCATATTTTTAGACAGGGTTTCCCTATGTAGCCCTGGCCATCCTAGAACTTGCTCTGTAGACCAGGACTGGCCTTGAACTCAGAGAGCTGCCTGCCTCTGCCTTCAGACTGCTAGAAGTAAAGGTGTGCCCTAGCATGCCTGGCTTGCTTCTCTTAAAAACAAAGAAATGAATGAATTAATAATAGGGCATAATGACACACTCCTTTGATCTCAACATTGGAAGTGGAGGAAGAAGAATCAAGTTCAAGGTCACCCTTAGCTACAGAATGAGTTGGGAGGTCAACCTGGGATACGTGACACATACTACCTTAAAAAAAAATCAACCATTTACTCACTGAATAAACCAAGTTCAGAGGTTCATGTGCCCTGCGGAAAATGTCTAGAAAGTTTATAACCTTAAAAACATGATCAAATCAATTAACTTTAACTTCTTCACCTGTCATTTAACAACTCAGCGAGGCAACGGAGTGATGTTCATGTTAGGCCTAGGAATCACATGGATTAAAGTTCAAAATATCAAAAAAAAAAATGTCCTGAGAGTTTTGTAGAGCCCTGAAAGGTTTCATTCATACTGGAGGAATCCAGGTATCTCGGTACCAAAAAGGACATGGTCTTGAGCCAGTGGCTTCTACTGTGATGAGCCAAATCTCAAGACACACAGGCTCATTCTGCCTGCCATACCTCTTGGGAACACAACACTTGATGCCAGGCCCTACAGTAGGACCTGAACAGAGCTAAGAGGGGACACAGAGATGCCTTCACCCCACGCCTTCTCTTTCCAGATGAGGAAGCTGAGGCACAAAGCCAGTCTCAACACCATACAGCTGACTTGAAACTGGACATCCCATCACCTTTCTGGAGTTTGCTCATCTCTGCCTGCAAACAACCGATCTGGTCCAGAAAGCAAGACTGCCTTGTCTGTGCTCAGCCTGTGCTGGCTGCTCTGGAAGAACTGGCCTTATTTGACCAGTAGATCTCGTGTGTATAAATAATGCCACTGGAGATTGAAGTAGGGTCCTCAGAGACCAGAAGACTCCCTGTCCCCTAGCGCTCCCCTCCTTAATCATTGTCACCATGACCCCACGGGGGAATACCTACCATGCTTGTTTTTCTTCTGCTCCTCTTCCAGTCCTGGCACACCAGGGATGCCTAGGAAGGTGTTGTGGGAATTTCCGTACCACACCAGCAGCTCCTGGTCCGGAGGGATCATCTGCAGGGGGAGAAGCAAAGGGAGGTCAAGGAGGTGGCAGTTGCCAGCAGGAGACAGGGGTCTCTGCACACCCAGCTTTGAGAAATCAAAGCTGGGGCCATCCCACTGAGCTATCCCAGACAAGCTGTATAGCTGTCCCAGGATGTTGTCCCCTCTGTCTCCCTCTCTTTGCCCAGGTCATTTTATTATTGCTGTCCTAGCTTCACACAAAAGGATCCAAATCGATAACTGTAATGACAAATAAAAAAGAAAGGTGAAGAGGGCACCATTCAGTGGGGTCACTGAGCAAACGTGCCACGTGCAACAGAGTTAGTGCAAGAGGATTACTGGGAGAGGGAAAGGCCATGTCAGAGTGGGGACATGAGAGAGGCAGGCAGGCAGACAGACAGACGGACAGAGAAGAAACAAGAGAAAGAAGACAGGCAAGAGAGGAGCAAGAGGCAAGAGAGCGAGCTGTGCCTGGTGGGCACTTTTAAGGGGTGCACATGTTGCACAGCTGACAATCGAAAAGCACCTGGCAACGGGTGATGATGTAACTGTTTGGCAGCAGGGGCAGGCTGCTGCCATGGTGCAAACTCACTATACTGCAAGAATACAAAAGAAAAAGAGCCCAGGGGTGGAAAAATAGCTCGGTTGCTAGAAGGCTTGCTTAACACATACAAAGGCCTGGACTAGATCCCCAGCTCTGTGTGAAACAGTCCTGGTAGTCACTGCCATCCCAGTACTCGGGGTGGAGGCAGGGCCACCAGAAGTTCAAGGTCCTCCCTAGTCATGTAGACAGCTTGAGACCAACCTGTAACACACATGGAGCTGTCTCCAAAGGAAGAGGAGTAAGCTGACAAGCAGAAAACCTAAAAAAAAAAACAACTTTTTTTCTTTTTTTTAATTCAGGGGAATTAGAGTCAGCCAGTCCTCAGGGCCATCAGACTGAGCCAGATGCCAGATGTTTCTAAGGAGTGTGGACTATGGGGTACCCTGTGGCTTCACCCTGCCTGATAATATTCCGGAAGCAGCTCTTATCCCAAGTGCCTGAGGCAGCATGGAGTCACACGTGGTTCTCTTCCCAGCACAGGGCTCGCTGCAGGACTCCATGTGTGTGACAGGTGCTAAAAAAGAAACCTTGGGATTGACAAACACCTACGCCTCTGGAAACACCGCACAGCCTTAAACAAAATGCTTCTCTGTGTCCTAGGCCCGTCGTCAAGAAACCCAGAGCAGTCGGGTGGTAGGAGTGCATGGATTTCAGACCAACATTTCGGAGGCAGAGTTCAAAGTCAGCCTGTCTACAGAGTGAGTTCCAGGACAGCCAGGGAAACACAGAGAAAAAGAAAAGAAAAGAGGAAAAAGAAAGAAACCCAGAGCTCTTGACCAGCCAGACTTTGCTGCTCTCAAGAGAACGATGACGGCTACTAACCAAGAGAGCATGAGGCGACAATCCAAGGGAGCTGGAAAGCCTGCTCTCTGGACCTCAGCCAAGAAGGACAAACAGAGAGACAGCCTGTCTCTCTCCAGAGGCTGATGTGGCCCTCCATAACGCTGACCGTAGATACTGGAGGTCACTGTGTGAGGTGTCCAGGGAAACTCAGGCAGCACCTAACAACTTTGCCTTGGTCCTCACGGGCTTCTCTTTCAGCGGAAGCATAGGAGACCGTATGAGGATTGGGGAGATAGCTCAGTTAGGAAATATTTGCCTTGTAAGCCCATGTGGGCCTCTCTGAAAAAGTTAGGTTTGGTGGTATACACTTGTAATCCCAGTGCAGGGATGTGGAGACAGATCCCTAGAGTTTACTGGCCAGTCAGTCTAGACTAATTACCAGGCCCTAAGCCAGCGAGAGATCTTGTCTCAAGAAACAAGGTTTCTGGGCAACAGTGCCTGAGGTTGATGTCTCCACACACAAGCATACACACACACACCATACAACACAAGCATACACCATACACATATATACAATACCTCATACACACATGCACACACAACACAAGCATATACACACAACAAAACACAAGCATACACACATACAACACAAACACACACACAGAGGAACACAGCCTATCCATAAGCAACACAACACTTGCATACACACACAACACAAACAAACATACACAAAAACACAAACATATACACACACAATACAAGCATACATACACAAAATAAGTATATACACATGTACACACAAAGAAAAACCACATGGCATTCCACCCTTGAGTATCTGGAGCCACCCCAGAGTAGTGGTCAAGGAGAATTTCTCCCCTTCCAAGTGAGCCTGAGAGCATCAGGTCCACCTTCCATGGAGAGAACCCACAAGAGTCCCCCGACCATCCACCAGTCTCCAAAAGGAGAGCGAACTGTGACAGGAGGGGAGGCCAGGAAGCCACAGGTGTCTTGGCTGCTGTTTCCCTACAGAGACTCAGCCTAGTGTCACCATGTCACCACGTCCCTTCACACCAACCCATAGCCTCTGGCCTCACAGCAGCCCAGGAGCGTGAGTGTGGCCAGTTCCACTGGGGAAGGGGTTAAATATGGAAAACAAGTAGGAGTCTTACTAAACACAAGCGAGACGACACAGGGTCTCAAAGATAGCAGGCAGCTTGGAACCTGACACTAGAGCGTAAGTCCTTCAGCCTCTCCTCACCCTCATGGTCACCATCCAAGGCCGAAGGCCAGAGCTGGAGGCCTCTTCTTGAAGAGGAGGAGGGAAGAAAGGTCTGTGGAGCCCTCAAAGATGTGGATGATGGAATTCGAGTATTTAAATATTGATTGAGGATTTTTGTTTGCTTTTAAAGATATGGATTAGGAAAGAGACTATACTGTTCAAGACGGATCTCAAGTCCCCAGGTCCCTGTGTGACTTGCATATCCCTCGAAGGCAGGCCTCTAGGTTACCTGCACACACCCTGTAGGAGATGAGCTACAGAGGGCCCTGCTCAGTCCTGAAGTCGGGGCTTATGGGGCCACTCAGGCTCTGGACCTGCCAAGTACGCAACTGTGACACTTGGCCTCAGTTCTCTCTACGGTAGAGCAGAGTCGTCTCTATCTTACAGGACCACAAACACAAAGCCTGCTGTACTATAAAGCTGTGGAATTGCTGCTCACTCACTATTTTCCTAGCTTGCCAAATCCCTAGAGGAACTAGCAGTGATCTGGGCACTTTGAGCCACTGTAGTAAAGCCCAGGGCCATTGGCAGGGTGAAAGTTCACCTGGGACCAAGCACAGGCATGGGCTGGGGGCATGCCTCAGTAGGTGGAGTGCTTACTTGGGGCTTATGAAGCTCTGGGTTTGGAGCTCAGCTCCACTCAAGCCTGTAAACCCAGCGCTGAGGGGGTAGAGGCAGGAGATCAGAAGTTCAAGAGATTCTCTTTGTCTAAATAGTGAATGGCTGGTCTCAAGACCAGCCTGGGCTACATGAGACCGTGTGCCTCAAAAATAAATAAGTAGGTCCTAGAATAACGACTCGGCAGTTAAAAGCACTGGCTGCTCTTCCAGAGGACTTGTGCTACCGCACAACCATCAGTGACTCCGGTTCCAGGGGATCTAACACCCTCTCCTGGCCTCCAAGGACTACAGGCACACATGTGTGCATATACATACATGCATGCCAAATATGCACACAAGTATAATAAAATAAATACTTTTAAATTTAATGAATAAATAATAAACTTATTTTTATTCAACTTTAAAAAAATAAAACTTCATGGGAATACGGGTCTAACTGTGCCCCAGTGATACCACTCTCCATGGTGGTGAGTCTCTCTCTCTTCTGACCCCATGCCAGCTGTTGCCTCTGCCCCTCTGGGAGTGTTTCCCCCAAAAAGAGTCATTTTGAGTCTTTAAAAAAAATACAGATTTAGGCTTTAAGAGAGAAATATAAAGAAATGGTGTGACTTCTGGTTTTACAAGATCTACTTTAAAAATGAGATGTATTAGCCAGGCATGGTGATACACAACTTTAATCCCAGGACTCGGGAGGCAGAGGCAGGTAGATCTCTGTGAGTTCGAGGCCAGCCTGCTCTACAGAGTGAGTTCCAGGACAGCCAAGGCCACACAGTGAAACCCTGTCTTGAAAAAAGAAAGCGAGCATGTCTCATTTCTATACACACACAACAGCGGCAACAATCATAACACTTTTCAGGAAAGAAAACCTGCTAAAGAGAATGCACTGGAGCTGGGGATGAAACACCCCCAGACAGACGAAGGCTATGGGCAGCCCCCAAGTCCCCCTTCACACAGGAAAGGACTAAGTGTTGCTTTGCCCTTCAGAACCTGGAACCCCTGCCTCTGGTCTCCACTTACTAAATACTAAAATTGCTTTTTTTCAACCTGAAAAGTGAAGCCTGTGGACATGTGTTGGGGGGGGGGGGGTCTGAGTGTGTCTGATATGCTGGAGGCCAGGATACCCCAGAACTTGCACCCTCTGCTCTGAGACCCCGAAAGTCTGTGCACAGACCGCATCAGTGCATTGAACAGCCACAGTCCCCGCAGGCCTCTCAGGCACTGCTCCTACTGAGTGCAGCGGGTCCAGACTGGAAGGGCTGGGAACCCAAATCAGCTGGTCACTCATGTTTCTGGTTTGGGATCAGTCCCCAAAGGAACTGATCCCCAGAGGTAAAACTCACTCTGTCAGGCCCATTACCTGATTCCTGCTGTCAAGCCTCATGACCCCGTGGCTAGTTCTTAACATTTGCTACTTAACGCTAGTCCTGCCCCATTCCAACGACAGAAGGGCAATGACAGGCTTTCAGGTTTGCCTTCTTAATACAAATTCATGACACCCCATTGAGCACGCTCCCGGGAGGCTCTGACACTGCCCTTTCCCGGAGTGACACAGAAGCATCTCGGTGTCATCTGGATGATCATCGGTTTCCATTGTGCGCAGATGTCCTGACACAACAATTAATAGAGCCCCAACAAGAATATGCTGGCCGGGGAGGCCACACAGCACGGCCAGCCACACTCTAGCTCTGCAGCAGATGGGCTGGCGTCCAATCAGAGTCTCCTCAAACCTGGACCTCCGTTTCTTCGTCCTTAAAATGGGGACAGGAGCTGTAATGAGGCTCAGCAATAAAAGACCTATTCAGTATGTATAAGGCCCTGGGTTCCGCCCATGGAACCATGAGAAAAAGCAAATGCGCACTGGGTTCAGTCCCCGCTACAAAAGCAAAAAGTTGCTAAGGCCCTTTGGAAATACTGTCAGTGTAGTGTCGGTGCGTGAAATGCTCCCGGAAGCATCATTAATGGTGCTGATCACTAATGACGGTAATCATCAGAGCCACTACCGAGCAAGGTCAAAAGGAAAATGGTGCTTGTCCTCCGAGTTGAGAAAAGAGATGAGGACCTAAGAAAAATAAAAGGTGCAGCTGCCCCGAAACTAGAAGAAACGAGAAGGCCCACATTTCAGGGCAACCATTTGCCAATACAATACAATGAAGCAGAAGCAGGAAAGACTGGAGATTTTCTTCCCATTGTAAAACACCCAGATAGGGGTGTTTAGTTAGTGTAATAACAGACTCCTCGCCTTCCCTTGCAATGGTCTCTGGAGCAAATCTCTCACTTCCTTGGTGAGTCGGTTTTGTTTTCCTGGAAGAGGGGGGTCCCTATGGACACCCATCACCCAGAGAAAGACGTATTATTAATATTTAGTATACCCTTGTTTTCTGCTGGGTGCTTCCTAGAAGTGTGGTTTGAGGCACCTGAGGCAGGATTGAGTTAGTGTCCATGCAGAAGAAAAACCAGAAGGCTGAATGCCCGCTCCCCAAGTTACCCCAACCTGGAATGCAGAATTTGTAGCAGAACTCGAGTGTTGGCCTTAGTTTCCAAACCCAATCACCGCTGTTTCCATTTAGTGATCCATAACTTTATCTTTGTGGAATGTTCCAGAGCAGCAACTGAGTATTCTTCCTACTGAAGAGAGGCATTCCCCCCCGCCCTGTTTTGGCAAGCAATGGGTTACTGTTATGAAATATAAATAGTGCTTGTGAGTGGCAGGAAGACCAAGCAAACAGATCATGGCAAAGGTCCCTCTCTTTGGCTAACAGCTCCCTCTTCACACACACACAGAACAAACAGCTGATTATTCAAGACTTCCCAGGAGTCGCCTGGGTGAGCAGAAATATGTCTGGTCATACCCGGAAATACAAGTAGAATTCTGACATTGTTATAAAATGATTTGAGAGAATTGTTGCTATAAAAAGGTGTATCCAGCTTCATTTATGAAAAGTAATTTTGAACCAGATATCGTGGTGAATGCCTTTGATCCCAGCACTCTGGAGGCTAAGCTGGGTGGATCTCTGTGAGTTTGAGACCAACCTGTCTTCATGGTGAGTTCCAGGACAGCTAGGGCTACATAGTAAGATCCTGCTTCTGCCTCTCAAGTGCTGAGATTAAAAGCATATGCCACTACCACCTGGCAAAAAAAATTAAATAAAAGTAATTCGAAAATGTTTTGTGTTTCCTTGTGCCTCACTTAACAGCCCCTTCTTAGCTGAGTTCTCTCTAAACACCGTGATACATGTGAAAGCATAGGTATGACAGATACATCATATGTGTGATAATGTGTGTGCCATAAAGATGTGTGTGTATGGTCCATTCTTTCATAAACTTGAATTTCTGATAAACATAGATGAACTTTTTCTCCTAATCATACAAATTGCAATCCCTCTCTAGAAATATTCCTTACCCTCTTGTTCCCTGAATCATATTCCTGGATAAATATCATTCACATGCCCTGCTCTGACTTCGATTCCCACCAGTCTAATGTGTCTAATATGATGGGATGCAGGCCATCTGTTTGCTCCAGCTTTGAGCCCAAGCGCCAACAAGATATAGGTATTCTTGGCAGGCCTCCTGTGTCTGTGTCCATGTGCATGTGCACGTGTGTGTGTGTGTGTGTGTGTATCTGTGCATGTATGAGTGTGTGTGTGCATGTGTGTCTGTGTATATATGTGTGTGTACAGGTGTGTGTCTCTGAATGTGCACATATATGTGCATGTATATGTCGGTATGAAGGCATGTGTAAGAGAGCAGAAGGGTGAGAACGCAAGAGGATGTACTTTGCTATGAGAACATTCAACTGCACCAAAAGCCAATTCTAGAAGGTAGCAATCCAGCTGAATGGCCACAGGAGTCCTGCTGGTCCTGCCTGAGCTACCTCTGGTACTAAGCTGACACTCCTCAGCCCTCCTAGCATTTCCGAACTCCAGAGGCAGACTTGCCTGTCTTTCCGTACTCTCTGCTTCCTGGTTGGTCTTCCTTGGGCTAATATTCCGCTGTGGCCCAGGCCCTGGCCATACAAAACCTAGGTAAAGGTTACTCTGCCACCTCCCCTGTCAAAATCCCAAAGGTCTGATCATTCTGGAACAATAAGACTCAAGTCCAAGAAGCTAGCAGGCCTGGACAGGCTAGTGGGCACGATGTGTGGGAGTCTTCTAAAGTGAATAAAAGTGGAGCCAGGGCCAAGGCCTTGGAAGAAAAGGGGGGCAGTTATGGAGGTAGGAGATGCCTGGCAGAGACAGAAAAGCTAAAGGCATCTAGGGAGCTGGTGAAGGAGGAGCAGTGGTAGTCAAGGCGAGGGGGGGGGGCACAGCAGCAGGATTCTTTGAACAGGGTCTCTTGGCGTGCAGTTTGGCTGTGTCTTGCCCTGGCCTGGATGTGGGAAGTTGTCTAAATGCTGTGAGGGGTAGCAGGGCTGTCCCACTGCATTTTCCTAGAGTTTGCACTTCTGCTATCTTGTTTTGGAAGTCCTTGGTAGTGAGGAGGGTCAAGGGCTTGGCTGCTATTCTAGGTTAGAGAGCAACTTCAATGAGTCTGAACTTGAGACGTCTTTCCTCAGTAACACAGGTGTGTGTGTGTGTTGGGGGGGGGGATGTTTCAGCGCTCTAGGCCACCAAGCAACGGCAGGTTTCTGTGTTCATAAACTCAAGATTCTCCTTGTGTGAGGGTAGGCACATGGGAGACCTGACATAGCAAGCTATTGCTGGGCCACACACCACTGGCCCCGTGTCCGCAGAATGAGAGATGGCACACAGCTGAACCTCCATGGACATACGTCCTTTATCAGACCCAAGTGCAGCCCCAGTCTGCTTGTACTTGGTATTCTGCTGTACTATTCTACCTTCTGAACCCCTGCACATTCTCCTCTGCGTCCAAGATATTCACCACATATTCAAGCTCCGTCTTCTCCCAGCTATATATCACAAGCTTCCCATACAGGGCATACTCCTGGCAACCACAGCACACAAGCCTCAGTTCTGAGCCCAGGCAGAGCCTGTTGGGCCAGCACCAAAGTCCTTCTGTCTTCTTTGGCCACAGAAGACAGCTGCTTTTGCACACTCCTTGCCCTGTGACATGTCTCCCTCTGTCCCTCTGTAACAGTCCATGTGCGTACCTCGATGGCCTTGTAGAAGATGCTGGTGCCAATCTGGACCACCTCCAGGTTCTGCTCCTGCTCATTCCGGGCACACTTGATGTAGGTCATCCAGCTCCGGTGGTCTTCCTGGCTAGCATCGATGAAGTAGCGTACTGTGCCATCCTCGTTGAATACCTGGGCACAAGTGGAGCAATGATGGGGTGAGACAGGGCTGTGCTGCATGTGTGACCCAGGCCAGACCCATCTGTAGACATTCTCCTTCCTCCCAACAGCTCCAGGAAGCACCTAAAGCTTTTGTTAGCTATTCTGTCCAATCCAGGAAAGTGAGGTTAGGGGACACCGTGACTTGTCTGGGGCAAGGGGCAAATAATGAGTCAGTCTTCAGGGACCCACATGCTTACTATGACCAGGCTCTTCCACCCCCAGAAGAAAAATGTCCCCAAAAGATCCCTAAGCAGGTGACATGCTCTTCTGCTACCTGTCCAGGTTTGCTGCAGAACCTCGGGGAGGGAGCAAGAGCTTAAGAGGCAAATCAAGCTCACTAGGGGCTCTTGGCCTGATCCAAGCCCTTATGTGAAGCTAACAGCTAAGGGTCCTCAGAGCTCAAAACACATGCTAGGTTCCTGATGGGGCAAAGGCTGGAAGACACCCACTAGGCCCAGGGAATGGAGAAGGCAAGGTCTCGGGTCATCTCTCTGCTCTCTCCCTCCAGTTCCTCTGAACAGTTGCATGTATCACACTGATCTCCTGCCAGGTGGGGCTGCTAGGGTGGCAGCAGGGGACACAATGAGATTGAGTAGTAGGTGTGCCATCTGGCTACTGTGGGGGTGCAGATCTGGGGGGTGGTGAGCGATGGAGGAGGGCTTCTACTGGGCCGACTTTGTCCTAAGGGGGGAGGGTGTCCCTGGCATCTGACACTGTCGGAGGTAGGGTAGAGTCAGAAGACCAGAGATGGAAGCCTTTCAGATACTCATTTCCTCCTGCAAAATGAGAATAATAACCCATAGGGCTGAGGAAATGAGCTCACAGTCCCCTGGCTGGGGAACAAGACTGCTGACTCAATGGTCAGCCATGGTTATTTTGGATGCCACCAGACCTGGGATTGGGAAAGCTATCCTCAAGAAACACCCAGCTTCCACTGTCCTCTACTCCAGCCACACTTCATCATAGACCGGAGCCAGAGACCCACCCTTGCTGCCTCTAAGGCCAGGGAAAGAACGTGAGTAACTTGGAGAAGCCCAGAGAGTCCTTCTTCCCAGCCTCTGCACCAGAACTTCCCTGAATCTCACTCAGCGCCCTGAATCTCAGCACTTGTCACAGGTGAAATGTGGCTAACAGCCTTGCTTGGGAAGCTTGGAAGCAAGAAGAGTCAGATATTTTTCCAAATCAGGCAAAAGAGAAAGAACCGTTGGCAGAGAAGCTACAGGACAGGAGAGTGGTACCCTAGAGAGTGTTCAAAGGGACAGCATCCACAGCTCCAGAACTGAAGCTCTGGCACGGGCCAGATAGGGCTCTTTTCTGACACCAGTGGACACAACCCTCGAGGGAGCCAACCCACTTGTCCACCCGAATCCTTCTCCAAAGCTCCGGCCTACCTCCCACATCAGATTGTTGTTCTTGCAGATATCCACATGCTCTGGGGCAATGACGCGGCCAGTGAAGGGCCCCATCTCCGTGCCCGCCTTGATCCACGTCTTGGAGAAGATGCCAAGGCCCTCGCCTGGGATGGAACTCTGAGCGATGATCACTTCCACCGGCAGCACCAGGCTGGATAGCTTCTGCACCTCTGCGGGGTGGAAGGGAGCGGTGTTACAGGAACCCGGTCATATTTGCGCAGAGAAGGCCCTACCCTTCTCATCCAGGACGCTGTGCTCCCCCTGCTCAGCGCACAAGCAGCCCCAACAGGGGCGAATATCTCCAGAGGCGCTCTATAGGTCTGTGTGCAGAGGTTCAGCCTTATTTTGCAACCCAGGACCCCCTGTGCTTTCTAAAAGTAAGCGCTGCATCGTGATTTATTTATTGCTCTTTTGGGCGGAGAGTTACTCGGGATCGAACCCCAAGCCTTGCGTGTGTAGCGCTCTGCTGCCGAACTGTCTCAGCAGTCCTTGGGGGCTCATTTCTGTAAGTCTTTACACAAATTCTGCAAACATCCCCAGCCTTCACTGCCTTCCATCGCCGAAAAGCCTAAGAACCAGTGCGAACGCATTGTGTTTACAGACAGGGAAACTGAGGTCCGGTCTGGCAAAGAGGTAACGTCCAACCCGGGGACTCTTCACTCTGCCTTGTTCCTGGATGTTCAATTGCTGACTCTGGGCTCACTGCCTGTCTCCCGGTCGCGGTCAGCACTGAGGACAGATCCCCAGCTCGGAAGGTAGCACCCGCGCAGAAAAAAACACTTGCTTCTGCAAACTGAGCTCCCAGTTCCCCTGACATCACCCGCTGCCACGCCGGTGTCCCATTCTGCTCCAGGTTCTAGAGTGCCAGCGAGGCCGGCACCCGGATCAGGCGAGTTCTGAAGTCGCCTTAATGGGCGAGGAAGAACCAGTGGTCCCTAGCCCCCAGAGAATCCCTGGAGGGGCCTCTGCGGCAGGGGTGGGAGCGGCGAGGCGCACAGGGGCGGCCTCCATGTCTTACAAGGTTCCCCTCTAAGCTACCTGGGAAAATACCCGGCGAGCCGGCCGGCTGAAAGGGGGGGTTAAACGGTGTCCATTGCGAAGCGGCCGGCAATTTGTCACGCTGTTAAAGTGATCGCATTCATTCGGCTCCATTCGAAAGAAATTGCTAATTCTAAATTCATTAGCCCTGGAAGAAAGCTGTAGCAGTAAATTGTATCTCAATGCGGAGGGGACTTGTTTAAAAGGGGCCGAGGAATTCTCCTTACAAAAAGGGAGGATTAGATGGTTGACATAGCGTGAATGGAAGTGGAATTAGTCTTCACGGTAAATTAAGAGAGGAACAGCAATCTTAAAGGGGAAGAGAGGACGACGCTCAGAGACGCCAGCGCTGGGGAAAGATATTGTTTGTGGGGTGACGAATGAGGAATAAGAACTTGAGACATCTTAAAGAAAAGGAACTTTCCTCGCTCTTTCTCTTCCTCGCTCTCTTCGGCTTTTTCTCTTCTGGCCTGCCCACCCTCCGCCCCTTCCCCGGCCCCGGCTGTCTTTTAAAGTTTTTGGTTTAAGTGGGAACTTTCGCGGGTCAAGCCCAAGTTAACCAAATGAATTTAAAATCCGTTCTTTTTGAGTCAACTGCTATTACACGCCCAGTAAGGCTTTTAATGCCAGGAAACCGAGAGCCTCCAGGCTGGAGGCTGGGGTGGGGAGAGAAGACTCCGAAGAGCCTATCTGACCGAGGTCGGTCGTCTAGGTCGCTGGGATTTGATCCTAGAGCACCCTGCATTCCTAGCTGCCTCAGCTCTGCTTCGGTTGTGGCTGTTGCGGCCAGGGTTTGGCCCACGGAAAAACTAAGGTGCGCTGATCAGGGAGAGCAGCCAGATTGGGGGTAGGAGCCCCTAACCCAGTGTTCCCTATCTGGCCACTGCGCCGGTAGCCTGAGAATTGCGAATAGCCAGGAAGAGGGAAGGAGAAGAACACCGACGGCGAGACTCACCTCCTGAGAAGGACTGCGCCAGGACTTCAGCGGTGAAGGCGGTCTTTGGGCTGGCGTGGTGGCTCTTGTCTTCCAGCAGCTGTTCGCCTAGCACATTGCGCCATCGGCCATATAAGAAACTGTGCAGAATGTCGGAGGTGATGACCTCTGCCAACGCCAGTCCCGGAGCCTTCAGCCCTGTTTTGAGCACCAGGGCCTCAGCTGGGAGCACAGAGCCCATCATGGGCGGCCAGGAGCTCACCGTCGCTGCGAAAGACGGCTGGGTGGACTTCAGAGAGGTGGGCAACGAAGAGTGAGCACAGGAGTGAGAGGAGAGAAGTACGGCACAACACGAGGGAGGAGGAGGGAGAGGAGCAGGGGGAGGATGCTCTAGGAAGTGAGTGGCAAGGGGGATGGCTGGGAGGAAAGTGAACCAAGCGGGAGGTACACAAAATCTGCAAAGAAGGTAGAGGGCTGGAAATCCGCGGGTGGAGATGGGGGCGGGTACCAGGAGGGGTGCGGAATGGGTGGGAGGTGAGTGACTGCCGAGAAACACCGACCAAGGACTCTCGGTTGCCCACTCGCCTCCTGCACCTCCAGTCAGGACCGTCCTCCCCTTGGCAAAATCTCAGCTCCTTTATAGGAGCCGCAGTGACCCTCCTAATTGGTTATTAATGACCCCCTGACGTCGAAGGACAGACTTGTACCCGGCCAGGCTCGAAGGAGCCTTCACCGACAGCGCGAGGGGCGGGGGCAGCGCGGACCGCTCAGAATAGTCCCCCTCTGCTCCTCCCTCCCCTCTGGTCCTTCCTACTCCCCTCCTCCTCCTCTCCCCGTGGGAAGCTCCAGTCAGGGAGGGAGGATCAGCCCGGGGCCGGGAGAGGAGGGGTTGAAGTAGGGGCTGCGACACAGCGAGGCTCTCCCATACTCCAGGGACTAGACTGAGTAAGAGGGGACTCATAACTGCGAGCCCAGAGTGCCCCCGCGCCCACCTGTCCCAGACAAGATCCTTGGTCACTACGGTCTCCAGCCAGGCTTTCACCTTCCTAGCACTGCGGGCCACTCCCTGGACTGCGGGCAGCGTGTTATTCTCCTTGACCAAGCCCAGTATTCGGTCGGGTTCCCATCTCTCCCTCGCCCCCACCCCTGGGCCCTACTCTCTTAGAGACTTCACTCCCTAGGCTGCGACAGCAATTCGTAGTCAGTGGCTCCTGCTCGGGTGATGCATATCTCTTGCGCTGGCAGAGCTACCCACGCCGGCTTCGCTTCAAACGGGGCTCCTCAAGAGCTCTGCTGGTGGAGCACAGCCGGTGCAGAGGGCTGGTGAGGCAGAACCGCCGACGTCGCCGTCGGGGCTGGATCCCACCTAGGATGGCTCCCAGCACTAGGAGTACTAGGTTGGGATGGAGGATAGGAAAGGCTGACCCACTTCAACGCTTGCCATCAGATACTCGCATTTGTGAGATACTCTGGATGAATGTAAAATGGGAATTGCAGGGACCCAAAACCAATGGCTCGGAAATTGTAGGAAGCCCCGGGGCAAATCCATCTGCTGAACTCCGCTTTTGAATCCAGCTACTGGGATCTGGGATCCTAGGAAACTGTCAGGCGGTCCTCTTTCCTTTTAGTCTCCGAATGAATGATCGTTCTTTTTTTCCTGGCTCCCTTCTCTTCCTTCCTCCTCCTCCCACTACCCACCTCGCCCCACCAGCGGGTTCTATAGAGTCTTTCCAAAGCACCTGGGAGCCAGTTCCACATCTCTTCCAAGGTTGCTAAGTCGGGAAGACCGCGGCTTCCTGCGTGGATTGAAGCCTCCTGTACAGTCTCAAGATTCCCCCTTCCAGCTCCAGAAACAACCACATTGGAGGGGCACTGGGGACACCTCCCCCAATAGCACAAGTCCTCAGTAACACCCTCCCCCCCTCCGCCGCTGCAATTTTAGATGGCGCTATGAAAAGTTCCGCAGCCTACAGGCTAGGGTGAGTTCTTGTGTCAGGTCTCCACTGGATAGCTAAGACTCTTCAGGCCTTGGTCTTGGGCGTGGGTCGCGCTGCCAGCGCAGGACTAGGACTTGAACCTCGGGCAGGATTCTAATGACCCCAGGAAAAGAACTCTTTCTACCACCAGCTTGCCAGCCAGCGCTAAGCCTGCCTGGCTCCTGGCAAACATGGGATCCCAGGTCTCCATAACCCCTAGTTGGAGCCAGTGGTCTCTGGCGTCCTCAGCCCGGCAGGCGGGAGACTAGAGCGCCAAGGCGGCGATAGAATATCTTCAGATGCTGAATCCCTGGAGCCCAGAGAGTGGGTGTACCGGGCAGGGAGAAGGACCAACGGGCAGGGCGCCAGCAGAGGGCAGCGCTGCAGAGGAGCAAGTGCTGCCGGTGGGCTGGGGTTTCTTGCAGATGCCGCCGGTGAGTTAAAACGGTTCGCGGAGGGTTCCAGCCTGACAGGGAGAATGGAATCCAATGTCTCGGTAGCAAGGGAACCTGACCGGCGCCTGGATCTTGGCTTCTGTGAAGCCTAAGTGGAGAGGAGACTGAGCTGGGCAGAAGAATGCCAGGTCTGGGTGCTCAGCTTCCAACTCCGGAGACTACCTCAGCGCTCGAGGGAAACTAAAGGGAACTGAGGACGGCAGACCATCCTGGGGACAGCCCTTCTCTTCTCTGGGCCTCTAGGCTCCTGTCGGCAGTGTTTGAGTTGGACTTTCCTTCCAACTTGTCACCCTTCGATTCCGGTGACTTTCCCCTGAGCTGCAGAGGATTTTTAACAATTCCCTTGCCACACTCTACGTGAAAAAGCTCCCAGGACCCAGAGTCCTCCATGCCTGAGGCGAATTCGCGTTCCAGTCCCAAGATCGAAGTCAAAAGACAAAAGGACCGAAGGTTCCCCATTACTTTCCTCAGGAACCCCCAGAACCTGGGGAGAATATTGATGGAGGAAGGACAGGAACCAAAGCAACCTCCTAGCTGGGGCATCTGCGGACCTGGGACATAGTCGCTGCAGTTTTGAGCTTCTGGCTAAGTGATAGTCCCATCTGGCCCCATGCCTCTCCCCATATCAGAACCTGCAGGGAAGACAGCCCACCCGGATCGGAGAGCAAAGCCCTGAGCTTGCATCAGCTCGCGTGGAGACTTCGAGGGGGAAAGGCTGCGAGTTCACAGTGGATGAATCTCTGGGACCCAGGCGCTGAGTGTGATTGCCTGAAGACCCCTCCCCTGGACTCGGCAGGGTCGGAGCTCTAAGGCGCAGCCCCCCGCCCCCTCGATCGCGCCCGCCGACTGCCGCTCGGCGATCTCTTTAATATTCATGGGCGTTAATAGAGAGGCCCCCAGTATATCGGCCCATTGTGGGCGGCTCGTAGGGCTTGAATAGACCCTGGCCCTCTTTCTTCGCAGAGGCTTCCCGAGGGGCCGGGCCAGGAGTGAATGGCCCTGCTTCCCGCTCCTCATCCACCCCCCACCCCCTTTTCAGGGACAACATCTTTATCCCCGCTGCTGCTGCCGCCGCCGCCGCCCGAGCCCCATTCACTCGGCCCAGGCTTCGGGCAGAACGAATCAATCGGCCGCGGCTCTACGGAGGTCATCCCTGTCGCCCGTGCCCCACCCCCAAGACCACGGGAGTCGGGACAAGAGAGGCAGCAGCCGGCAAACAGACCCAAGAGCGAAGGGACCCCCAAGTGGGGAGTGGGAAAACGGGGCAGAATCGGGTGGGAACCATCAGAATTGGTGGCTGATCCAAGGTGCACCAAGAGGGTCTCAGGACCCAGCAGCCGGCAGGACCAGACTAATTCCACTTGTTGCCTCTGGCAGAGAGCCCGGGAGACCAAGGCAGTGGTGCGAGCCGGGATATGAGTCCCGCGTCCCCTCCAGTAACCCGCACGCATCCCTTTGGGTTCAGCATTTGCAACCGCGAGATCAGAAGCGCGGGGAACAGTCCACCGCTCTGGTTCATCCCGAAGGGCACGTCGGTTCCTCTTGGTGAGACTGGGTTTTGCTCCTGAACACCAAGATTGGGCCAGCTCTTTGCATCGGGACCAAGGCAGGGTAGGGCGATAACAGTTTCTACGCCAGCGCCTGGCGTCCCGGTCCTTGTGCCCAGGGCGCGAGGCGGTCAGGCGGGGCCGATTCGATGGGTCCCCGCCCCTCCCGTCCCAGAGGCCCTAGGAGAAAAGAAGCCCATTGTCCGCAGAGAAATACATTTTGCTCCCCCCCCCCCAAGAGAAAGCTCCTGTTTTGAACTTTAGAAGAAAGTCTTCTTCCCTTTCCCCTCGCAGGGAGAGATTTGTCGTCGCCTCCAACCCCCCCACCCCCGGGGGGCCTCGGAGCACCGCCTCCTCCCAAAACATCTGCCGGGGGAAAATCCACCCTGGAGGGCAGATCGCGCTGGCTTTAAGCCCTGAGAACTCATTAAAAAGATATTAGCGGCGGGGGCAAGTCCCGCACAGGTATCGATCGACTGGAATGAGCCCGGGGCGGGGGGGGGGGGGCAGAAAGCGAAGAATGCGGCGGATCTGTGTCCGGAAGCCCCACCTGGGCCCAGCCTTGAGCATTCTGGCCCTGCGACTGGAGCCTGGCCCCTGGCTCTACGCTGAGAAGCCTTCTGCTACTCCTGGGTTGCCTTCGGCGGCCGTCCGGCTCTCCAGGCCGCCCCAGCCTTGCCAGCTCCAGCCAGTGGGCACTCGCCCACTCTTCATCCCAGCCTCCAGGTCGCTGTCTTTCACTGCGCGCTCACCTTTCTCAAACCCTCTAGATTCCCTCAACCCCCTGGTTTCTCTCTTGCTCTCGAAGTCTCAGTTTGTCTCCTCTACGTCTCCACCGTGGCCCAGAAAATGCTCTCTTTATAGGGGCCCAGGTGGATCCCCACCCCCGGTTCCCGTAGCTCCAGGGCGGCCCCGCGGGCACGGACAAAGGCGCGGCGACGGGCTGCCCAAGCCGGTTGCGAACCCTTGCAGCAGGACTGTCTTCAACAGTCATGACTGGAGCAGGCTGGGTCTGACCCACTGAGTGTCGGCTTTGGCCCGGCAGAACAAAGATGGTGGTTCCTCTTTCAGGCCCATCTCTGTCCTAACTAATTAGCCTCTGAGGCCAGTCAATGAGAGACAGAGCGCTCACGTCGGAACTGGCACCTGGGCAGACAGGTGACTGGCATAAGTCTCCATGAGTGGCCAAAGCTAGATGGCTCTCTTCCCAGAGCGTCCCGACCCCCATACCCATACCCCATCACCCACGCTCCAGCCCTCTTAGGC